ATTTTCCCATGAAAGCTTCAAAGCTATCTCATACATGCTTATTCATGGACAGGCAAACAAAAATAAATAGACTGGTGCACATCTATCAGTGTTTCAGGCAAATGATTATTGTGCTTCATATGTACTTGTGAAGCACATGAGGAGCACAGTCAGGGGTACTTCCTAGACATAAGCAGACACCTCCCAGCATTGTGAGTTGGGTTGAAGGCTTAGAACCCTAGTCTTGGGTGCATCTGGGCCAATTGACACCGCACAGTCATAATGATAAGGTTCTGCAGCCTAGGTTGGTAAGTAATGTCTAGAGTCATATAAACTTTCAATTAGCCATCGAAGATACAACTAAACTATTGGTTTCTATGCATCTGGATCAAAAGAGGAAGAAAGAATGCAAAAACTTAAAAGAACTAGTTTACAGGACTAATAGTCTACTGAACACCAGCCTCATCTACTTTGAGAACAGAAGATTTATGTGGTACCCAGTTACCAGGACACCATTCTGAGCAACATGTAGAACAAAACTCAAATTCCTTAAAAAAAAAAAAAAAAAAAGGCCAGACACTGGACTGATAATAGCTATAGGAACCCCTGAGGCTATGACCCTAACATGCCCTTTGAACTTGAAACTGAAGCCACTCTTGGGGCTCACCTTTCATCCCAGTACTAGATTGGTTTAAAAAATATGCAATATCGCCCGTGAATACTGTGCACCCCCCTAAATCAATCAACTCTAAGAGACCAAAAGATCAACACTTAGACTAGAACAAAGATGAGAAGCCAAAAGGGCAGGGAAGCCAGATTAATGGCGACAGAATACCAAGAATGGAAACCATGAGAATAGTGGTCTGTTGTGCAAACTGTAACCAGTGTCACCGGGACATGTTGTATAGCATTTGCCAAGCAAGAACCTAATTTGCTATGTAAACTTTCACCTAAAACAACAACAAAATATTTTTAAAAACTAACCCTTGAAATCCCCGAGTGGGGCAAACAGCTAAGTTCAACTACTAACTGAAAGGTGGGTGCCTTGGAAGACGGGCCTGGCAATCTGCCTGGGAAAGATTGCAGCCCCCAAGCCCTGTGGCATGCTTTTCTATGCATGCAGTCACCTGAGCTGGCAAGCACTCCAAAGGAAGTACGAATAACCACCAACAACACGCATGAAAGGAAAGCACAGAGGTCCTGGCTTGGACACAAGGTAATCCACCCATAAATGCTGCTTACTCAGGGGTCACTGTTCAGTTGGGTGGGGCTGGAAATCTGAAGACTGGAGGCACTGGGAATGGTTCTTAAATGACCTCTTTGTGTCTCTGCCACCCCATCTATCACAGTGCTATTTTTCCAAAGTGTGAAGTGACCCAATAATATTTAACTCGAGGGTTACTTGCACCATAAACGGGACAAGGGAGTGTGGACATGCTGTCTGGAACATAACGGGCTGGTTAGGGGACATAAGGATGGGACAATGAGTAGGGTGCATGGAGACGAGTACTAGATTGAATGTCAGTAGGCCTGGGTCTAGGTCTAGGTTTTCCTCTGATCTGCTGTGTGGCCTGGGACAGGTCCCTTCACCTCTCTGAGTCTCCTCATTTTCCCAGTAAGTGCTTTCTGAGATCTCGCCATTGTTCTTCTGCCTTGGGTTGTTGCAAAATGACTAGGAGTTCCACCAGGAGTTCCCAAAGGAAGTCAGCGCAGAGGGTGGTCAGGACTGGCAGCCAGCCAGTCTGGAAAGCTGTCCCCTCCCCCAAAGAGACCACCCTGGAATTCTGGCTGGGGGGCACTGAGGACCATGGAGCAGATCTTAGCGGTCAGCACATCTTCTCTGGGTCTATGATAATCTGCCCATTTTCAGACTTGCAGAGGAGACGCTCCCACACCTCCTCCCACTGTCGGGGCCAGATTTCGGGGGCGGGAAGCAGGCTCTGACTGGGGCTCTGGGGAACTTTAAGGATCGGAGGACTTGCAGGCTGTTCAGGCCAACAGGAAGTCAAAATTATTGAGTGAAAACAATGCTGAATTTGGCATCAGAAGACATGGATTCCCATGCTAGCTCTGCTTCTTGGGCAAGCAGCTTTAGCTACTTGTGGTTCAGTGCCTTCATCTGAAAAATGAGGCTTTTATCAGGCTCAGACAGGGAAATATACATAACGGTGCCTAAGAAATGGGAAAGTGAGGTTGGCCTGTGTGATAGGAAGCAGCATACATCCGTGTAGAGAACAGCTGATCAGGAGGTCAGAGAAAGCCAGCTCAGGGGCTGCCTTGCCCTGAAATGGGTGCGTCAGCCTCAACAAATGGTCCCTGAGGAGGGATCAGACTGAGAGGCAGTGACGTTTGCAGTGCTAACCCAATACCCCCAGAGATGCCTTATCCAGTCCGAAGGGACAAAGGCCATGTCTCTTAGTGTACCTTGGCTCTCAGGCTTGTCTCCAGGGAAGCTTTGTAAGCTGACTGCCCTGCCGATCACAGATTCTGGCTGTCTGGCTGGACCCTCCCTCTCAGAAGTTTTCACAGGCCCCTCATCAGCCCCATTTGTCCAGATGTTTGGGTGGGGGATATCCTTTTCCAGATGTGGCTGGATGAAGCCAGAGGCATAGCAGTAGGACTTGACAAATGTTGATCTGGTCTCTCCTGCAACTTTCTCTCCTTAAGCAGTGGTTGAAAATGACCCAAACCTGTCTGAGATGGTAGGCCGAGGCCAGGAGGAGGGAACTCTTCAATGAGCTCTGTATGCTTAGTACCGGGGTGACAGTAGTGAGTGACACAGACATGGTTCAGGGCCTCATGGAGCTTACAGGCTTGTTGAGGCGGGTACCTAGTGGTGTAATGGGCTATGTGCTGGGTTGCTAACCTCGAGATCAGCAGTTCCAAACCACCAGTTCCACCTCGGGAGAAAGATGAGGTGTCTACTCCCATAAAGAGTTACAACCAAGGAAACCCACAGGGGCAGTTCTACCCTGCCCTATGGGGTCGCGGTAGTCAGAATTGATTCGATGGTGGTGAGCTTGAGTTTTCAGTGAAAACATATCAAGAACTCACTAGCATAACTACAGTGAATGCAGGATTCCAGGAGAGTGAGTATAGGCCAGGGGATTCCACCTCGTTGAGGCCCAAAAAAGGCTCCCCAGGGAGGTGGCATTTGGTCTGAGGTCTGAAGGTTAGTAAAGGTTACTCGGCAAAGGGACTAAGACTTGGAATGAGGAGGTGAGGTGAGCTAGAGACGTCTAGGCTACGGGAACAGAATAAGGGACTTCAAAATATTCACGGGAAAATTCCACTTCCCACGAACTTGGTAGAGGTTCACGTGGGTGTGCAGTTCTTCACAGCCTGTAGCACACAGAGCAAGGGGGTATTGAGGCAAAAGGGTGCCAGGACAGGTGAGTCACTTGAAAGTTGGTGCCTGGACCCTAAAACTACAGAGAAGCCCTGGAGGGCTTTAAGAGAATGCCAAGATCAGATTTGCATTTACACATTTACAGGGTCACTCTTCCTGCGGTAGAACTGGGCTTGCTTGTAGGGGATTGAGGACGTTCAGGGGAGGTTGGGGCACAGCAGCTCCTGCCCCCCTTCTACGTAAAAGATGATAGGGGCATGATCCTGAGTGGCAGGCGAGATGAAGACAGATGTGAGGTGAACTTCAGACAGGGAATCAGCAGGTTTTGATGAGGTGGGGGGAGCATAGAGGGAAATCAAAGAGGCCTTGCAGCAGGGCCCAGTCACTGGGCGGCCTTCCCAGGGGTAGGGAGCCCAGATGTGCAGCGTTTTGTGCTCAGAAACAGCAGGAGGCTGCTTACCTTGTCTGAAGCTGTGTGTCCACACAGCGTCTCCCCACCAGATGGTAAGCATCTGGGGCCTGGCTGAGGTACCCATAGGCACCCAAATTCAGCCTGGGTCTGAAAGGGCCTCTGAAGGCCCCGGCAAATGAGCTAACACCTCAGCGCCACGCAGCCCCATCCTACACATCCTCCCCATCCTCCCCATCCTACAAGAACAGGGGACGCAGGAAACCCATTAGTGGGGTGCGGAGTTGGGCTGAAGGTGTTTGTTGTTCAACGTCTGGGCAGGAAAAGCCCAGCAAGGAGTGAGCCTCTTTCCTGGGATGGGAACTCCTCCTCGGTGGGAGTCAACATCCGTCATTCATTCAGCCAGGCTGCCCGGAGGAGATTTGAAGGGACCGGAGAGAGTGTGTGTGGGAGGGGGGAAAGGGGGGCTGGGGCTCTCTGGGAAGGCCAGAGCTGGGACCCGACAGGGGCCTGTGACCCAGATGCCGCCGGTCCCCGCCCCCGCCGGGACCGCGCCGCGTGGGAGGCGGCAGCAGCTGCAGGCCGGGCGAGGGCGGGTGGCTGCCGCGCTCGGCCCGTGGGAAGCGGCGGCTTCTGCTCTTTCCACGCTCGTTCCCAGCGGCTCCTCTGAAACCCAACCCGCCGGGCCGACCCCGCCGCCACCGGCCCGTGCCCTCGCCGGCCCCGCCCCGCGGGGATCGGGTTGCAGAGCCGAGCTGGGGGCCGGGCCCGCGGTCCCCCGACCGACGCCGTCGGCTCCAGCGACAGGGGAGGCCCAACCACGTCGTGCCTGGGGACAAACACCCCCTGACCCTACCCCCGCGGCCTGTCGCCTCGGGGAGCGCTGTCCGAGCCGCCAGGGCCTCGGAGGCAGGAACCCCTGAGCTCGGGGGAGGACTTGGCCGGGGAGCAATGGGCCCCCGGGGAGAAGGGCAGAAAGACTGGCCCTCCCACGCCCGCCCTGCGGCTCCTCCTCGGGGCCTGGGAGCCAGCGGCCGCCTGGGAGCTGGATGCGCCCGCCGCCCACAGCCTGGCCTCCCCGGGGTCAGCCCAGGCCAGCCCGGGCCACCTCTCTGTTCCTCAGGGCTAAAAAATAATCCTTTCCCTTCCTCTCCAGCCAGATGGCCAGGCCACTGTCCACCGCCAGCCCTGCACAGATGCAGGCCAGGAAGAAACGGCGAGGGGTAAGTGCCCATCACGGCTGAATCGCCCAACACGAGTTTGCCCTGCTGCCCCCACCGCCCACTCCCTCCCCCTTCCCGGGCCTGGAACAGAGGGAGACCCATCACGTGTAAGTGAGCTAGACTGCCAGGGTTCAAATCCGGCCTCTGCCAGTAATTAGCAGGGTGACTTTGGGCAAGCCCACTGAGCTCATTTCCTCACATGTGTATAGCAGACCTAATGACAGAGGGCACTTCAAAAGGGTGCTTGGAAGATTAAGTGAATTAATGTTGAGCACTTAGAACAATGCCTGGCTTAATGAAGTGTTATTGTTGTTAATTACTCCTCTCTGAGTCCAGAACTCTTATTTTGTCTGTGGGCTGAGTGGTGGGGGACAGCAGGCAATCGACACTTTCCTCCCTGGATGTAACGGTGATGAATAAGAAGAGCACTGTATAGGGAGTCCAGAGACCTGGGGCCTGGCCCTAGCCCTGCCACTCGCTGACCATGAGCTGATAGGCCAGCGGTTCTCAACCTGTGGGCCACGACCCCTTTTGGGTCGCCCGATTCAAAACAGTAGCAAAATTACAGTGATGAAGTAGCAATGAAAGTAATTTTGTGGTTGGGGAGGTCACCACAACATGAGAAACTGCATTAAAGGGTTGTGGCATTAGGAAGGTTGAGAACCACTGCTTTAGGCAAACCACTAATGACTAACCTTCATTTTCGTAATCTGTAAAATGGGGCCATTGCTTCTGCCTGGCTACCAAGATCCTGGAGGTCTCTGGGTGATGCAAGCAGATTCTGTTTGACCACTAAACCCCCAGCATTGCTGCCTAAGAAAGGCCTGGCAGTTTGTTTCCCTAAGGATTGCTGCCAAGGGAACCCTATGGGGCAGCCCCACCCTGTAATAAGTGGGAGCTCCAGGAGCCTCGGAATCAACCCCACAGCAATGGGTTTGGTTTTCAGCCGGCTGCTCAGTATCCTGCTGTCAGGTTACTGTGAGGTGAGAATGAAATAGTTCTCATCAAAGGTAGAGAGCAATGCCTCAGACCTCCTGATGGCCTTGCACATAGTGGATCCTCCTGGGCCAGCTGGGACCCAAGGGCCTGTGCCAGCTCTGTGGCTGTTGTCCCGTCTGATTGGTTGGTGTAGGTCTCCCCTGCTTTTCAAAAGCTTGCTTTGCATCACCTCACAGTTACAAAAGACCTATCCACATGAGCAGCTGGTTTTTCCAAAGAGCATCTCGATTTTACAAGAGAGAAGAAAAACTAACCTAGCATTGGTTTTGCATCCAGGGGCAAGCATAGCACTGCCCAGCTCCCTCCCCAGAAACGACACTGAGTCTCTCAGCGTCAAGCCTCCATCGCTTTGAACTGTGTCTGTGAGCACGCTGTACCCGTGTGATTTGATGGACATTTGGGGGGGAGTCTAGGAACGCTCAAAAGGGTTTCCTATATACATTAATAGTAATTGCTATTGCTATCTTGATGCCTTTTCTGCTTTTGAAAGGTTTCATGGGCACATTCTACTTTCAGATAGTGGGGAAACCCATAGCCTGCTGCTCTGCTGGTTAAAGATTTTGAATATCATTTCCACAGACCAACTTAAGCGACCTGAGCTCTCCTCCTGGCTCATGCATGCCCTTGCTGTGTGGCTTTCAGCAAGTCATTGCCCTCCTCTGATGCTCGCTGTCATCCTCAGTGAGAAAGAATAGATGTCTCTCCCTCAGGAAACGTGCCAGGAAAGTAGGAGTCCATGCTTGCCAGAGCGCATGGGAACGCAGTTGACGTGCCATGTGTAACGTCTTGCTGTTGCTTTTCTAGATCATAGAGAAACGGCGCCGCGACCGCATCAACAGTAGCCTTTCTGAATTGCGACGCTTGGTCCCTACGGCCCTTGAGAAGCAGGTATGTAACACTGCTGACTGGCCCAGAGGAAATATGAAGGGGCACCAAAAAGTTCATGGAAAATCTCCACATTCATGTTTCCATACACTTTTTGAAGCCCCCTCATATTGTGTGGCCCTTTCTCGCGGTCTCTCTGGTGATTTGTAGCGACTGCCTGAGGTGCTGGGATTGCTCACGCCTAGCCGTCACTGGACAAGAGGGACGGAAAGCCGTGCGTCCTGAGGTCCTCCTGTGCTCCAGGTGTTGTGTAGCCTTATATCCATCACTCCACTGAATTGAATCCTCAAACGCTCCTGGAAAGTAAGGAGTAGTCTACCCACTGCACAGCTGAGGAAACTGAGACAGGGAGAGGAGAAAATAGCTGATGCCTGTATGCCTGACCACATCAAAACAAAACACAGCACAACAAAAACACTGCCCTGGAGGCAATTCTGACTCATGGTGACCCTATAGGATAGGGTAGAACTGCGCCTGTGGGTTTCCAAGACTGTAACTCTTTGTAAGAGTAGACAGTCTCATCTTTCTCACATGGAGTGCCCAGGGGGTTCCAACTGCTGACCTCACAGTTAGCACACGCATAACCACTACGTCACTGTACTCCATTATGCCTGACCACGCAGCTAGTAAATTGTGAAGCATCATTGGGGCACAGGACCATGTGATTCTGGAGCCCCCATCCCTCCACACTCCACTCACTCAGAGGGACCATACTCTGCCGTTGAACATGTTGGAGTGGGGGACAGTATAGTGGAGAGGTGAGTTGAACCAGATGGTCTGCAAGATTCATACACTCTGCTCTGAGGCAAGGGTCACGGGTCAGCTGCCTTCCCTTAGACTGGTGAGAAGACATCAGACACTCCCCATGCCTTCACAGGACAGGCTGTGAATTAGACCTAGTGTCTGCCCCCAGAGAATGCACAGAGTGATGCTGGAGGCTTAGGAAACAGTTCCTGAGACAGCACAGCAAGAGCAAGTGCTCTGTGGGTAGGAGGATGTGCTCGATCTTGACTGTGGTGAGTAGAGACGGTCTAGAAGTTGTAGGAGTGGCCTTCTGGGGAATGACCATAATGCTGGTCCCATGGAAGCAGCTGAGACTCCAGGGGCACACAGACTGAGCCAGTCAGTACCCACTGGGGCGAGGCAGAAGGAGAATCAGAAAAAACTGGAGTGTCATGGAAGTCAAGGGAGAAGGGGGTCTCAGGAAAAAGGATGTGGTCAGCAGTGGCCAGAGCAGTGGACAAGAAGGTACATAAAGGTGACCACTAAGGAGACATTGGTCAAAGCAGATGTCCAAGTGGAGGGGGTTGGGGAGCAGGAGGAAGGTGAACAATTGAGACAGTGGGTGCTGTTGACACTGGGTGCTTGTCGTGGGGGTGGCAGGGGACATGGGGGGGGGGGGGGACGACGACGACAATGGAGGTCAGCCAGAGGCCTTCACTCTTCTGTCTTCTCAACACCCAGGGCTCCTCCAAGCTTGAGAAAGCAGAGGTCTTGCAGATGACGGTGGATCATCTGAAAATGCTTCATGCCAGTGGCGGCACAGGTACCGATGCTCTTCTCTTCGGGGCTTATTATTGCAGTGAGTCTCTGGAGGCTGGGCCTGGGGACACCCTATTGCACACTGTGGATGTGGTCCCTGCCCTCAAGGAGCTTACCGTATATAGCTACAGGCCCGGCTAGATCCTCTGCAAAGCTGGTCTCTCCTCTTCTTACAGCTTCTCCCTCTCACTTGCCCCAACCCTTCTTCACGCCTTCCTTAGACCATGGAGGAGCTTTCTCTAACAACAGACTATTCCTACTGGACCCACCCTCCAGGCCCTTGTGAAGGGTTACCCTCCCTGAGCTGATTTTCCCTGGGATCCCAGTCTGGGGCCTGTCTAGACCTAAGAAAGGGCCCTCCTTGGATGTTAGCCACAGACATTCCACGAATGGTGCTGCTGGTCTGGCCTCCTGGACTGTGTGCCCTGGGCAGTTGTAGTGAGATATCCGCTCACATATTCTGTTTTCTACAGGATTTTAAGAGAAAGCAAATGTAACTCCTTCCATTGTTTCTGAGCTAGTCCACCCATTAAAAGACAGTCATGGAACTTTGGCTTTTAAAAAACTTCCAGACCAGTGATCCCTTTCGCTACATGAGGGCTCTGCGGGTGTTTGGGGGGTTTCGCAATTGGGCCATCACGAAAGGTTTCCCAGTTCTTGGCCACATATATCGAAGTGCCACAGATGTCTGTTGTTGCCCTGAAGGGACACGGTTGCATTGTAAGTGGGCCAGTCTGGTGTATTTCAAGCCTCAGTAGATGGTCATAGCATCTGGGTGTGGGGGCAGCACGTGAGGGAAGGGAGACAGTGTTGTGGGCCGAGTTCCCGAGATTCTGAAGCCCTGGTTGGAATTTAAGTATTTGCAACTGTAATAAACAACACACCCAATGACTCTGATCCAGTCCCGTCACTTTGAGAACTGCTGCCCAAGACATGCATGGCTCCCCTTGGACACTGTGCCTCATCAGGCAGCGGGGAAGATCTTTCTACTGCTCTGTTGTTATCCGAGTAAGAGGAAACCGTGCGAGTCCTGGGCAGCATTTTACTGTGTTCCCAGTGCTTGCACTTCTCCCTCCTTGGCTTCTCCCAAGAGCAGGGTGGGCATCGATTAGGACTGAGAGCTCATGGGAAGGCACACCACGACGGTCTGAATCCTGCCCCCACTAGTGACTGACCTGCCCTCCTTGGACAAACGCCGTCACCTCTCTGTTTCTTCATCTCTCAACCCAAAATGAGCCAACTCACGGTCATCAAGCCAATGCTGGCTCCTAGGGAGTGCATCTAGAGGACCAGGTAGAACTTCCCCAGTGAGTTTACGAGACTCTACATCAGCGGTCCTCAACTGTCCGAATGCCCCCACCCTTTCATATAGTTACATATGCACCCCCCACCATCACATTATTTTCATTGCTATTTCATCACGGTCACTGTGCTACTGTTATGAATCGGGCGACTCTTGTGAAAGGGTCATTCGACACCGAAGGGGTCACGGCCCACAGGTTGAGAACCGCTGCCTCACTCTTCATGGGAGTAGAAAGCCCGTCTCTCCTTGGGCGCTCCTGCTGGATCACAGCCCAGTGTGTAACCACTACGCCCCCTGGCGCTTTTCTTCATTTCTAAAATGGGAATAATTACCATGGGGGTTTTTGAGGATCAGGGGAGTCCTGGTGACACAGTGGTTAAGAGCTCAGCTGCTAACCAAAAGGTTGGCAGTTCAAACCCACCTGCTGCTCCACAGGAGAAAGAGGTGACCATCTGCTTCCAAAAGGCTACAGCCTCAGAAACCCTGTGGGAGGTCAGTTCCACTCTGACCTATTGGGTCAGTTTACGTCGGAATTGACTCGATGTCTGTGAAATGCATGAGGATTCCATTAGAGACAAGGAGAAAGTGCTTCATAAGAGCTTACAAATGAACATCGGTTCATTTTAAAAGAACAGCAAGCGCAGAAACGAGGTGGGGTTTTGCTCAAAGACCAACAGCTAAGCATGTAGCCTTGACCATGAACCAGAGAATGGGCATTTGCAGCTGGAACCCGTGCCCAGGTTGAGAGAGGGACAGGTGTGGAGAGGCAGTGAGGACACAAATACCTGCGCAGGGCAGTCCACCTGATCCCCCTTCACCAAAATAAGGACAAAGAGATTGTCTGCAGCCTAATGCCAGTGGCTGCAGAGCAGAGCGGGCTCTCGCTTTCCAGACTTGGGGCAGGGGACAGATTCCAACGCTTACAGGGATATAGTGGTAGCTAATGTTTCATGCACTCTTACTCTCACTTCCCCACGAACTGGCTGAGGAAATGGAGGCACAGAGAAATGAAGAGATCTGTCCACAGCCAGACAGCTAGTTAAGTGACCGAGCCGGGATTAGAACTCAGATCAGCTGTCTCCTGGTTGCACTCTGGGTTAAGCATTAGGTTGCTAACTGCAAAGTCAGAGGTTCAAACTCACACTAGCTTCTGCAGAAGGAAAATGAGTCTGTCTGTTCCTTGTAAAGATTTAGTCTCCAAAACCCTGCAGAGAAGTGTTTCTCTGCTCCTTTGAGTCGCTGCTGTGAGCTGGAATTCACTTGATGGCCATGGGTTGGGGTTGGGTTTTGCCACCTCCAAATACCTCATGCTTCGCTGCTGCAGGATAGATACCACCCGCTCCATGGGCCTCCCAGATCTCCTGGCTGCTGCCTCAGACTCTGACCCTTCCGAGCAGGCAGGTGGTTTTCCGCACCTAGGTGTGCACAGCCTCTGCCCAGTGTCTGCTTACGTGAAGCTAGCTTGGCCTCAGAGTTACTGCTTGGAGCTCATCATTGAGTTGGGATGAAAATCAGGACTTGCATTCTGCAATGTTTCAGGTATAGTAACGTCGTTTGATGCTCACAACACACCACCTTCCACCCCAGGCAGGGGGGATTATTCCCTCTTTACAGATGGGAAGGCTGAGGCAGGTGGGATGATCCCCCCAGGGTTGCACAGAGAGGGAGCCAGGGAAGCTGCTTCAGCACTCAGATGGTTCGGAGCTACTCCCTCTTATCCCCCGCCCCCCTGACACACCCTCACGGGGTCCCTCTCCCTGCAGGATTCTTTGATGCCCGCGCCCTGGCCGTGGACTTCCGGAGCATTGGTTTTCGGGAGTGCCTCACCGAGGTCATCAGGTACTTGGGGGTCTTGGAAGGGCCAAGCAGCTGCTCGGACCCCATCCGGATTCGCCTGCTCTCCCACCTCAACAGCTACGCCGCTGAGATGGAGCCTTTGCCCGTGCCCACCAGCCCACTGGCCTTTGCCTCTGCCTGGCCCTGGTCCTTCTTCCACAGCTGTCCAGGGCTGCCAGCCACAGGCAGCCAGTTCGCCATCCTGGGCAGAGTGCCCGGCCCTGTCCTCCCCAGAGCCTCCTCTCCCGCCTACCCTATCCCAGCCCTCCGAACCACTCCCATGCGCCGGGCTGCGGGCACCATGCTGCCGACCAGGAGGAGCTTCCTGCCCAGTCGAGGGGCTTCTCTGGCCCGGAGGGCCCGCCCCCTGGAGAGGCCGGCAGGCCCTGGGCCCCTGGCCCCCAGTGGCAGGGCTGCCAGGAGTAGCCCCATCCCATCCCTCCTTAGGTCTTCCTCCCTGGTCCCCCCTGGGGCAGTGGGGCCCGCCCCTCACATGGCTTTGCCTGCCTCCCGGCCCTCTTCCCCAGGCCTGGTTGGGAGGCCTGAGGGAGCCCTGCTCTGCCGATCCTGGGTCTCTGAGATCACTGAAATTGGGGCTTTCTGAATTGGCCCCCAGCCCCCACCTCACCCCCGGTCCAGCAGCAAGTAAAGCCCTACTTCCAGGAGCTCCAAAATGGCACAGCCTTTTCCTGCTTTACCGGCCTGTCAGAAAGCATAGTCTCTCCCCCTCGGAGTCCCGCCACCTCTGACCCGTTTCGCCTCACTGCGTGTCCAGCCAGCAATCCCCAGAGCCTTGGTCCCCCTCGGCCCTGGACGCATGAGCCCCGGGTGGCCCCTACGAGCTGGGCTCAGCCCCCTCTCCTGACCCAGCACACACCGAGCAGCGGCACCAATCTCAGGTCTGGGGACAAAGCTGTTCCCCCAAGGACACAGTGACCCGAGACAGGCTGCTCCCATGGAGAGAGCAGGCCCCAGCAAAGTCTTCTGAGGTTCCCCCTCAGAGCATCCTATGGGCCTCCCTTGCGGGGTCTAGTAACTCAGCAGGGTCAAGCCTCCTGAGAATTGCTGCCAGACTGCCCACTTGAACCATCAGGCCAGACGGGGCTGGCAGTCCATCGGGGCCCACGCTGCCCTCCTCCCAGCCACAGACAACCCCTCTCCAGCTGACTTAGTGAGCGCGGCTGGAAGGGCCTGGGCAGCAGGAAGGCTTCTTGATGGGGTGTCAGCAGGCCTTGAATTGCATTCTCAGACAGACCCTGGGGGTCGAGCAGCTGAGGGCCAGCGCCATCCTGATGCATGTGGTGTCCCTGCTGGGTGTGCAGAGGGAGGAGGGGCGGAGGCACCATGCAGTAGTACCCAGAAAGGAATCCTCTTGGGATTCAGTCCCAGACGCTGTGTGCCTGGTTGACATCCGGCTCACTGGGCCCAGACAGCTAGAACAGCCAAGGGCTGTCGGACTGGATTAAAATAGCTGTGAGGAGGGGCCAGAGGAAGGCTAGTCAAAGGTAGCCTGGGCCTCCAGGGCCACACGGTGACTTGAGGGCCAGACATCCCCTTCAGCCAGGAGTCCACACAGCCACTGGCTCCACCCAGAGGCCACCTCCAACATAGGTGACTTTTGCTTTTAACAGAGGGTGGGGGGTGGGGGGGGCGGCGCTCAGCTGCCATTCCCTGTGGATCAGCAGAGACTGGACAAGACAAGACCTGGGTGGGCCCATGTTCCGTACCAATTGTTACACTATGGAAACACGCTTCTCTGGTGCTCAGTGAATATGAGCCGTGTGCTTCGGTGTCTCAGGAAGGCCTAGCAGACTGACCAGCTGGCCTCCAGTACTGCTTGTTCAACACCTAGACTCTCACTCCTGGGAAGACCCCACCCTCCCACCCCACCCTTTAATGGAGCCACCCTCCCCAGAGAGGAGGGGAATCCTTGGGGCTTGTGATAACCCCGGGGTAGGTGGGGTGGAATGACCTTTTCTTTTTTTTTTTTTTTT